CCACACCCTCCCCCCCCCCCCCCCCCCCCCAACTTTAAATGTTCTGGTACATCTGAGAGGGCTGCATAATTCCAGCCCAGTTTACAGACAGGCAAACAGAGACACCGAGTGACTAAACTGGGTTGTTGAGTGTGAAATCGGGGGTCTCTAACAGAACTGGAAATAGCTTTCAGGAGGCCAGACTCCAATTTCCAGCTCTAGCCAATAGACACATTTAAGATGCAACCTCTGAGAGCAGGTAGTCACAATACTGGGGAATCACTGGGTCAGTGGCTACCTGTAAAGGTCCCTTCTCATCCTGTGCTCCACCAACTAACCCAAGGAAGGGTGCTTTGTGCACAGGAGCTTGTCTAACATCTCTCCCAAATATACAGTTGGTCCAATAAAAGATACCACCAAAAAAACCTTGTTTCTTGTTGTTTTTCTGTACCATTATGGCTACAAGAAGACACCAGCCCCACTACTACTTGCCTAAAACTGTACATGGGCAGGATTTGGGTAGATGGGAACTCCAGCAGATGGATATAATCAAAGCTCTGGGACAACCACAGAGCACCTACAGGTACTACATGATAACTAACTTCTCTTCTTAAAGAGAACTCCTTCCTCCCGCTTACTGTCAGCATGTCCTTTGGAGAAAAGAAGTGAACTGGTGTTTTTTACAAGTCTTTCAAAACTGAATCAAGATGAAAGCTTCACCAAGGAAGACTTATGGAGCTTTGTAAGCCAGGAAGGGGGAACATCACCAGTGACATCACCAGTCCTGGCATTATTTTCATGGTTAGACTGTGTTCACTTTAGTGCTCTTCACCAAACAAAGGATGCTCCTGTGCAGGGTGAGAGTTCACAGCATTTGCGAGGAATCCTCCTGCTTTGAACAAATCCCAGCTCCAAGCCATTAGAGCTGTTATTAAATAATACTGGAGATGAAACTGAGGTGTTGAGCTAGCTAGCCTCATTTTAGATCACTTGCTATGAAACATTCTTCATGGCAAGGCACAGACTTTCTATGAAGGCACATCCTGTCATTGCAATGTAGCAATTTCATTGGGGAGCAAGAGAGACAGGCTAGACAGGAGCTCCCTTTTAAAAGAGTGGTTCCAGTTAGATTTCAGAACTCCCTGGAAGACATTCAGATTTGGTGAATAGGTTCAGGATCATTACAGGGGCCGATCTGAAACCTTCAGGAATTGATGTCTGCAAAGGTCAGGGCCATCCATGACAAACAGACCCAGCCACTTCTCATGCTGTCCCTGTTCAGTGATTAAACAGTTCTAGAAGTGGCAACCCTCTTGTCCAGCAAGAAAGGCACATAAGGAAAAATAAAAGCTTAAACTGCAAGCCGTACCCTGGGGTCCTTATGGCAAAGATAATATGTAGAGCTAACCAGAATCTGTTTAGTATTAGCAAACTGTACCCTTTCCCATAAATATTTAAAGGGCAGAGAGTGCAATCATTTTAAAGTATAATAGTAACATAAGAAACTTAACTTATGGTGGAAAAAAGGACATTTGCTACAAGAATAATAAAATGTGATAAAGCTGAATTTCATGGTTTGGCAGCTCTGGTCCCTCATGGCTAAGAGATGGGAGAAAAAAAATAGTCCTGCTCCAGAGATGCCTTTCAGCAGTGCACATATATTACATTTCTTCATAAAATATTCAAAAAATATATTTAAACAACCAAACAAAAAGTGTCCCTGCCACATGAAGGGGAATCGCCGTATTTTTCTGTTCTTTGAAGTTTATTGCCTATCGGAGATTAAATTTGGAAAAGGATGTTCTAAATTTGTCTGGTCGCTTTATTCAGATCCCCTGTCCCAACCTCCACCCCATAGCTTCCTCTTTGTGCAGGAAGCAGCCACTGTGGCTCCACACGGCAGTCTGGATTTCCCAGACAAGGAAAAACAACGAGCGGGTTTCCATATAAGGTACTTCGGGATGGTATGACGCGCTCCCTAGGTAAACACACACCTACATAAGTGGATGCATCCTCTCTGACAGCAATGTCTCCCTGACCTGCAGGCACCTTCCTTCTGGGCTATAAATTCCACTTCCCCACACCCATCCGCCCTGCCCTAAAGTGGGAAAATCCTTGGGTGAGACTCCTTTGCCATTCAAGGGGAAGCACACTGCAATTTCATTCATCTCCTTTGTCACCAGCTTGTAGCAAGATGAAGGATATGCATTTCTGAACCTAGAAATAACTGGCAGAGACAGACTGCCTCAAATGGGATAATACTCCAGAAACAGGGGCATGAAGTCTGTTTGGGCCAAGGTTATAGGGCCATGTTCAGCCTGGAGTAATCCAACTAAAATCAGTAGAGATACTCCAGGGAGAACTCTGGCTCTCTAATCCACAGGTAAAGTGAACTGAAATAGGATAGGTCCCTAGCCAAGGGGGAGCAACTGGGGAAGTTTTTCTGAGTCAGGGAAGTGAGGCGGGAGCTCTAAAGGCAGAAGTGGGAAAGATCAACCCCAGCTCTACACTCCTTCATTTTAATCTCTACCCACTAAGTATGGAACAAGAGTGCTGCTCCCACTAACAACACCTGAGGTCTGCCATTGATTTTGGTGGAAAGAATCAGAACATCACCACCATTCATGCCTTCTAGAAATAGGAAGCACATGGCAATTAACAGGCACTCAGGACACCCTCCCCACATCAGGATGCCCTAGGGTTGGACCCTATGTCTATATTCTGCTTTCTGAACAGATTCAATCAATGCAGCAACATGAATGCAGACATTTGTATCAATAAAGCCACCATGCAGGATAGGATCAATTGGCCCCTGGTGGGCACCATCTCAGGAGAGGGCAAAGACTTCATTGTCTTGGAAAAATAACTCCTCTCTTATGCCAAAGAGAGGTCCCTTTAGGGCAGGCTGCAGAAGACAGAGAGGGGTAAAGCCAGGGGAATAGCACTGTATGTTTTCAGTGGATAGTAGGACAGATGCACATGCTAATGTTTAGAGTACAGGAGCCAGATGCTCTGTGTACTATCGCTGGCTCTGCTACAGACTTCTCTATGGACTCAATCTAAAGTCCCCTGAAGTCAAATGGAGAGACTCCATTAGGCTTAATGGCCTTAATCCTTCACCTCTATATTTCTTGTGGAAAAGGTTTCAGGATCCTTGCACCAAATGCAATCCTGGCATAAGCGGGTGAAAGTACTCCTGTGGTCCATGGAAACAGTTTTGTTTCAGTTGATTGCAAAATGTGCAATAAAACAGAAAGACAGTCAAGGAGGAGCAGGCTATAAAGTGAACAGTTTTCATTCAGATAGAAAAACTCTTCACAGGATATTTTCTTTCAAGAGAAATGGCTTCTTATCATCTCTCTTTGCCAAAATACTTAGAATACTTAGCCAGTAAGGGAGAAAAAATAACATTTATAAACCCATCCTAACAAAGACAGGCCACATGTGGGGTTCAGTAATACAGCTATGTGAAGAATGTAGGCAGATTAAGGTGGATTTCTGGAGGGCATTACTATTCTTTTGTCCCTGCTGTACTTGTTCTGGAAGTCAGTTGGTCCAGCATTTTTGCCACCTTGTGTTGGCTATCTACATCTCTAAAGCGTTTGGCTGATGTGGAATTTCCACTTACCTGGAAAAGCTTGGGTCTGATATCTGGTGAAGTGACTCGGCAGGGCACAACCACCACTTCTGTAACATTCAGTACATAGATCACGTCGGGATACTCATGGAAAATCTTAACAAATGGGTTCCTGCTATCTGCAAGAGACAGTAACAGATTGAGATGTTGAGGACTTGTCCCATCAGTGGAAAGAAATAACTTGTTCAATGATCTATCTGGTGTTGTGTTGCAGGAGCCTACCTGAGTGGGTACAACAAGCCCACACTGTGGTATGTACAGCGTGGCAGGAGCCTACCTGAGTGGGTACAACAAGCCCACACTGTGGTATCCCTTCCTTAGGCGCATGAGGAGCTGCCCACCATTAATATGAGTCATTCCTGGGAGGCAGCATAGGTCAGAGGCTATGGCCTCTAATCACATCTCCCAGCTGCTAATAGTGTCTGTTATATATCTGCTGTGTGACATCAGGCAGGGCACTTTGCTCCAGCATTTCCCATCAGTAAAACCCTGTTCCAGGATGGTGGTGGTACCTCATATTTGAAGGCTGCTTTTCATACCCAGTTGGAAGGTAGTATGCTGACCCAATATTCAAAGCTGGTTATACTTTCACCAGCATCCTAAAAGGACTGTGCATGATTACCCAGTTAACTAGTGATTTGCTTCACACAGCTTTTCAGATTAACTTGCCAAAGGGAAAATGCCCATGTACCACAATTTTTCAGAACTATGGCATACAGGGATACCCTCCAAAGGATGTGAAAGAAGTCTCAAGACCTGAGATATTCCAAAACAGACTAGAAGGATCTGTTTGACCCTCACAAAGGGATGGGTTTCTTGACCTTGCATATCTGTAGGATTTTCTCTGCATTTGCTGCAATTGCTCAGGCAAGAGTTAACTCAAAAATAACAATAAACACATTTGGCTTGTATTATTCTGAGTTCTGAGCTGGTTGGGGCTTTATGGTTTATGAACTGAAGGTATTTTGATAACCACCAGAGGGCCATGAAAATGTGTTTGATTTCTCTTAGAACATCCATTTATCTACTAAATTTCTATTGGAATTAGGGTGTTTATTTTTCACTGCTTTTATTTTCCTGTTAAGCAGATTCAGAAACTACTCAGCCAATACTACACTACGTAACTTAGATGAGCAAACATGCTTGACTTGAATTGTAAAGTCTGTGGGGCAGAAACCATCTTTTTGCTATGCATTTGCACACAGCATAGCAACCTGGGTCTTTGGCTGGGATCTCTTGTTACAAATTAATATTAAGTGCCACATCTGATGAACAGTGAATAGCTGACACAAAGAGCCTGGGAATAACCCACAGCAGTTTGAACCTCCTGCTCCCAAAGCATTCTGAAAATGCTTATGAAAGATGAATTTTCTCAAGGGAAAATGAGATCATTCTTCAAATGAATACTTTGCTATCCAAAATGGGCTAAATCTGTGATGAATATTGTTTGTAATAACCAACACATGGATCATCATAGTTTGGTATCCTGCCTGTAGCAGTGGCCAAATGCTTTGTGACCAATAAAAATGAATACAGTTGTCCCATGCTGTATATTCCTTCCTGAACCCCTTCAGATCATCTATGCATATCCTGAACCATAGGGTTTCTTTAACCTTTAAGGCTCTGCTTTCTTCTCCTTTTGCAGTTGAGATGTTAGTTAGATGCTTTGGAAAGCAAAAAACAAAAAACAAAAAAAACCCAAAACATAAAAATTACCAGTTCATTTAATGATCTTCTAATGCTGTTTGTCTATACCTTCCCCTACAACCCCATGGTTCTGCATAAATGCATGAGCAACTCACAGCTCACAACTCACAACTCACAAAGACCCAGAAGAACATATATCCACCTTCAGTTTCCTCTGTGCAAAAATGAAGTTTTTCCACCTATGGGGACCTTTTACCACCTTTAATTTTCCCTGAACCTGAGGAAGGGCATCTGTTCCCAAAAGCTTGCAGAAAAAGATAATTTTTTTTTTGCAATGTTTTATTTAGTGTAATAAAAGGTATCTCTGAACTAAGAGTTCTAGATTATTGCATGAAATAACCCTGTACACAGTTATCAAATCAAGATGGCAACATTATTGGACTTCTGGGCCTCTTCCTACCTTCACGAGTAGAAACATTTTGAGGGGAGCAGAAAAATTATATTATGGCCCTGGATGTAGCCACTAGCTGACACTTTAAACATCTCCCCTGGAAGGTTTGCAGTGTTGAGGCTGCAATGTTTTTTCAGGAGGTGCTTTTGTTGGACAGTTCCCCAACAACGCGATTGCAGTTAACCCACCTCCATTGACTTTGGTTGAGATTATAGAACTCAACACATCCTTTGTAGCAGAATTCCCAGTGACATGAGTTAATACCCCTGCAATAAACGGTGTGCTTTGTTTATTACAGTCTAGTTACAGACTGCAGAGTTGTATTGCAATGCACAAAGCAAAGACTGCACCTGTTCTTTTTCACCCTCTCCTTGCTCCAATCTCAAATGCAAGAAACGTGATTAGGGTCTAATTTTGAAAGGTGTGGAACAGTGAAATAGTCTAAGTTTTGGCAGAAAGGCATTTAATGGACTGATCCCAGGAGCTCATTTCTTAAGGCCCTACAATGGTCCTTGATCATGATGGCAACACTTGTTGGCTGATGGATTTGTTTAGAAAATTGTAAAACTGGAGGTTTCAATAAGAAGCAGACAGTTTCCCCTCCAGTATACAGGCAGCTGTTCAGGGAAGTCAGAAAAAATGACAGATGGAATAACATGCTCCATGTTTTCCCTTTCATTTTTGACCAGTTCTGCTAATACTGAGGAGGATTTAATGAGGTAAGCTTAGGAAAAAAGCCCCAGAGCCATCCCCTTAGGTACCCAGTTCCAAGCACACAGCTCTTTGGTTCTCTTGGGAGATTCATTTTGCTCAAAATTGCACAGAGCAATTCTGTGAACTTAAAACTAATATCCAACTGCTGCACTGTGTGCACTATTAAACAACTATTGCCTTAGAACGGGCTGAAATTAAATCATGGGAGAAGGGACTGTCATGTTGAATATTTTAGTTAATCAATGCTAGATGAGTATGATGTTGATAGGTCTTCTCTGTATTTTGGCTTTCAGTTTCTAGTATTCCAGCATATTTCATGGATGTTTTTAAAGCTGGATACTTTTTAGGATTGGAAGAGATTGACTGTCTTCAATTTTTCTGTCAACAATCTGGTTAGCATATTCCTCATCATCATATTTATTAGATCCAGAAGCTTAGTTCTCCTGCTGATGCTTGGTGTTGGTCATTAATGACCTTCAGAGCAGTACAAAAAAAACACTAAGCACGTAGGAAATGAGGTTTGGGATTCTCTTTTCTTTCCAAAAGCAAAATTCAGGTGGCAAAAGAGCTCCCAAGCATGGTCTTATATTTTTTCACCTGGTTTGGGTTTTCTATCATATGACTATGAATTCATTTGGGAATATCAATATTGGCTTCTTGGCTAGTGCAATTAATCTTTGCTTAGCATGTCATTGAAAAACACAAGTGCTACTGTGACTCTAGGGAATTAATCTTCAAATAAAAACCAGATCTCTTCTGCAGGCAGAATTCCTTCCACCTACCACTGGAGAGAGTTTCACTCTCAAGAATATGAGCGTGGGTGTCTGAGAGAGAGAGCAAGGATTAAGGGTTATGCAGCAAAGTGGATTTTTTTTACAGATTACTTAGTTTAAGCATTTAACTTGCTGAACTGACAGCAGAATTCCTAGCGGACCAAACGGAGTATCTGAGTCAGTCACCTGGATGCACAAGCAGAAAATATGCTGACATAGCAATTTTGTGTATCAAAAAAGGCCAGAAACATAATGACAAAGCTTTGTAAAAGGCACTTGGGTCACTGGGCAAAGGCAAAAGATGCAAAATTTGCATCTTGGGAGTCACCGCAAACAGCTGATCAGAAGCACTCTAAAGCCCCATCTGCATGCTTTCTGAGCCACAGTAAGCTGTATATGAGGCATCAGAATAGGAAGCAAAGACCAGAAAACCATAAAGGAGTCTTCAATTCAAATCATTTAATTTCAGCTTCTGTTCTATGACAACAATGGAAATGACTGATCCATCCTCACTGCTGGTCTATAAGGAGATACGTACTTTGGAGTTGGGCAAGGCTATTAATTAGAGCCAAAACCTAGGCTCAGAAGACCCCTGACATTTGAAAATTTTAGATACACACCTGAATTTCTCATTAGCTTTTATCACACTACACTGGTTCTAATCAACCCTCTACCATAAATCCTGAGGAATTTGAGGTCCAGATCAGAACTCTAGGGCTTGTGCTTAACTAATATTAAGAAAAGCAGCACTCTGTAGCACAGCATGAAAGGTTGTAACAATAAGTTTTAAAGACTCATAGTTCATTTTGTCTGTTGCTGCATTCATATACTATGTTTCAATAATTGTCTGTGGGTGCTAATCCTGTTTGACTCTTCTGCAATGTCAAACTCTGGCTAATCCATACTATAGGGAGTATAAAATACAATAATAGTTTAAAAGCAAAGACCTAGTTGAGCTAGTTGTGGAACTTGGCTAGTTTCCACTTGCTGGAAAACCTTGCTCTTGGACATATTAACTGTGATGAAAACAAAAGGAAATTAATTCACAAGCATTTGCATTAAAAACGGGGAATAGGGACAAGGTCGTGTTATGGAGGAAGGAATTTCCACCTTTGCAGAGAGGATAATATCATGAAAACATGCAAGTGGGGCCAGGTGAATTTATCTGCCAGTGTTGAAGTGATGGTACCAGGATGTTTCAGGAAACATGCAATAGGCAAGAACTCTGGTGGGTGATATATTTTATTTGTCAAATAGCAAATTAACTGAGAAAAAGGAATTTTAAGGGGATTGCAACTATTCATAAATTAAAACTAAAACTAGTGAACAGTTTGAGCCAAAAACAATAGATTTTTTCCCCATTTTTAAATGAATGTTCCAACAGTTTGTTTCAGAGCTGCATATGTTTAAAATTAGCATAATAGATAGAAAAAAGGTTAAAAAAATTAAATAACCCCGAACTAAAATAATCCACTTCATTATGGCTAGTCAAATAAAACCCAAAGGGAATTCTTTCTTTTCATAAGGAAAAACA